TCCGCAGGCAGAAGGTGCTCACATGATCTTCGGGATCCGTCGTCCCGTTGTATGTTGGGAGGGCGGGTGGCATTCCGCTCAGGTGTTCCGCCATGATTTCCGCGCTTAGCGGCTGGTGGAGCGCCTTTTTGGGCGCGTTGAGTCGGTATTGCGGAGACATGTGTTGCTCTAGAAAGCTGAGATCCGCCCTTCCTGGAAGCTCAGCTTGCTGTGTTTCATATACGGGGTGTGGTGGTGGGACCGTCCCCGACGTTTCTCCGTGGGCTTGTTGGGGCGCGACTGGTGTCGCGCATACTGTGAGCTCGACTTGTTGCGCTTCGTGCGCGGGGTGTGATGGTAGGACAGTCCCCGACGCAGATGGTGTCGCGCCTGCTGTTGCCGCGGCCTCTTTGCTCACCATGAGCGCCATAACCTGGCTCATTTGTTTCTGCATGTTAGCTATGACGTTGTTCTGCTTCGCCATCAGCTGTCTCATTTCTTTGGCCGTGAGCTCGGGCTCTTCCTCTTCCAAGAGCACCGCGTTGAGATTGCTGGCTTCCGCGAATTCCCTAGGGTTGGTCATCGCCTTGATTGGGGTTGATTCGTCAGGTGAGTTGGAGCTGCGCTCTGCCAAAGGTTGATTTTCTTTGCTTCTCTACTTGGCCCCACGGTGGGCGCCAATTGTTTGAGCCTAACTGAGTGTAGGAGGGAGGCTCGAGAGATTAGGTCAAGTAGAGCGAGCAATCTGAGAACGATCGTTGATCCAGAAGAGAGATTTTATTATTTGGAGAATTGAGAGAGAAATATTTAGAGAGAGAAGTCGATGATTCTAGAGATAGAGTCTTTAAAAATCCGATCCCCTCACCCACCGGAGTAAATGCCTTATTTATATGCTACATGGTGGTGGGTGAGTGGTTGAGATATTTGTGGGGACCACGACATGTGGGGGACAGCAACGTGGACACTGACACGTCAGGGATTTGGACCATGCTTATACCTAGGACGTGTCAGAGGGCTACTTAGGACTGTACGTAGGGTCCTGATGTGACTACCCCTCGGGAAGTAAAACGACGCTTTCTGCTGCACCTTGGTGTAGTTGACATCTTGATTTTTCCACGTGCATGTGGCCTGCGTCGCGCTCGAGAATTCTGCTCCAGCCTTCCTTCATAACGCCGCGCTCAAGGTCCTCGCGCTGAGCCGTTCTGGGAGTCTTCGGTCGCGTTGCGCCCCGCAGAGCTTGGCGGCATTCGGGGTGGCGTCGGTGCGTTTTATCCGGCGCGGCTAGGTCCGAGTCACATGCCCAACACTTTCAATTTCAGCGCCCCTCGTGCCGCTGCTTCGATTAGACTCATTCATCTTTTCTTCATTACGAGACAACTTCGCCTTTTCCAAAGAGAAAACGAGTGTTGGTTTTTTGCTTTAACCCAAGTCTAATTGCACAACTCCGCATGCATTTTATCATTACTCAGCGCCCAGACAAGAACAGATGTTGACAAATCCAACCTTCCCTTATCAGATCTATCCTACGTCTGTCTGATATTTTGGGAAAAAGGGTACAAACCCACTACCCACCTAAAAGTGACAAGTCACAACTGCCACGTTGTCTCTTCTATCATCCCTTCATACTCTTCCACGTGTGCTAGTACCCCTGCTGATCTTTGTTTGCTTCTGCTAAATCAAAAGTTAAATAATGAAGAACAGCCAAACCAGATCAAGAGACAACAAGGCTAGCCAGATCAGTCAATCTGTGCCATTTGAGATGCCTAGCTTATGGCCGCAGAATGATGGCAGAGCCCAATCCGATCTTGAATGCTGGTTTGGCCGGTTGTGCAGCTAATGCTTCCCCACGAAGACGGGTGGTGTTAATCTTGGTACTGTTGATACCAGCTAAGAAGAAATGTCTAATCCAATGTATTGATAAGGAAACTACAGAAAACGTATACGGTATACATCCTTGGCATTTTATCTAGAAACTAGCTGCGGTTCCTTTTTGTCTGGCATCATGTTCCACATGCTAAAAGCGTCCGTATCTGGAATAATACACATTACAGGATACATCATTTTCTGCTTTTGGGCCTGGGAATTGCAGATCACGCGTGTCTTCTGAACCAAGCAATCGGCTCTGTGGAGATGTACGGGAGGGGCATTGAAAGCTTTAACTGGAAGGTGATGGCAAGCAGAGAGTTCGCATTTTGCATTTGTGTCTTGGTCGAGGCGGGGACGAAAGGGGCAAAAACGAAAGCCACACGCACAACTGGCCAACAACAGCTGCTACCATAGTCTACCAGACCCATTCCTGTCTAGCGTTCACGATTTTCACGTTTGTGGAGAGGAGAGGTACCGTTTCATAGAACGACAGCAAGTCGTTCAGGCATTCGTTCCTCTTCTCCTTCCCTTTCCCGTTGCTTGTACCCCACGACCCGATCTCCTGTATCTTTCCTGAAATTGTTTGCAATTGCACACAACCTTCAACTTCACATTTATAACGGAAAACAACATAAAAAAAAGAAACCGGCAGAAGGAGATTTCTATGGGGGATAACAATAGAAGAAGACTCGATGGTGATGAGCAAAGTGACTGATTTGTTACTGCTGCAACGTTTAGAGGCTAGACTCCCTAGCTCTCTCCCTCCAGTGTTCTAACGTATAAATGAATTCACCAGAGTGGAAAACTCGACTGCATTGCATTGACCTCAAGCAAAACCAGAACGTATAAAACTGACAACCACCAATTGCTTTGAAGTGACCCGTGCGTTTAAGTTTGGTCGGTAGATTAGATTGACTCAGCTGTCCTCTTAGACTTGTGAACAAAAAGGAAACTACTTCTAGGTAAGGTCTTCTTTTAATGCACATATTGGACTTTCTCTGCAAGGGCCATAAATGTGACATGTTCTGCAATAAACAGCACCCTTCTTACCCTTCTGAAGCTTATATAGTTTTGACACATAAGGGTATATAAAGATTTCTAGTTTCTTTCACACCAGCTAAACTAAGTGCCCACCAACTACCAAGAGAATCATTACAGCAACCCCCTGAACCACCAAACTTGTATGAATCCTTCCTTTAGTATCAGTCCCTCCAGCTTTATTACCATTAGTTACTCACCACTCCCTAAAAGAAAATTCCAGTGTTTACATGAAACCGTGTATGAACTTAGAAAGCAAACACGGAGCAAGAGGTTGCCGTACCACATAGAGAGACTTGACAGTGATGTAGTTACGGGTAAATATTTAGAGAAACATACCTTTGACCCAAAGTGGAGGAGTACCAGAAGCATTGGCCACAACCATAGACATTGCAATATCTTCACAATTTCTGTGGGAAGACCAGAAAAACCAAGGTCAACAAACACCACTAAGACGAAAACGCTATGAGAAAGGAATCAAGAGAATCGATCAAGTAGTGAATCATGTGCCTTGCCTCTCTCTAGCTAGGTAATCTTGCAACGGTGAAGGCATTTCATTGGTATACAAATCCAAGTACTTCTTGTGAAAGAATGCAGCCTTGGACAGAACCATACTGTAGCTTCCCATCCACCAAACTGACAGCCATCCTCCATATCTATGGAACACGCCACCACTCTTCTGCAATTACAGTATACATATGGGAAGAGTGCAAGATCAGATGAAACCCAAAAAGATACCATCTAGGAAAAACTGTCCATTTAACATTTCCGGTTCCTTTTCCAACAATGAACACACCCAAATAGCTTATCTAGTTAAGCCCACATTCTATGAACCATAAAGCTTAAGCCTTTTCAACTACTTCTAACTGATTCACACATACTTATCACCGTCTTCCTGCATATTCCAAGATCATCGAGCAACACCCAAGAATCAAAAGGATTAATTACTGAAACGCAGATATTGATAATCAGTTAATCACTCACCAAAAGATCTAAATCAAGCCAATGCATGCGTGGAACAAACCCAACCATGGTCAGGGGAGCAGTCTTCCACACCGAGAAAGCGAATTCCAGAGACGAACACGGCACAATCACGTCATCGTCCACAGAGAAAATCGCGTCCGTTCTAACTCCATCAATCGGCTTAAACCTGCCGCTGCCACCGCCGCCGTTCTCCTCAATCTCGACCCGGATATCAGGTCTCCACGACTTTAACTTCACGGCTCTGTCGAGATCCGATTTCAACCTCTCCGATGGCGGTTCAATCTCACTCCAGACGACATGGATCGCGTCCGCCCCGACGCAGGAAGCGTAATGAGCGGCTGTCCTCTTCAGCGGCGAATTCCGCCTCCAGGTGTTGATCAGCAAGGTGTAGGATCCCCGATAAGGGGACGATACGAGGGAAGGCTGGTCGGGGATCCAGCCCATGAAAGCGCTTAGCTTCGAGGACAGGAAAATCGCGAGGCATAGCAGCGAAAAGGCGAGGAGCAGCTTGAATTTGACTGCGGCGAGAAGCTGCGGAGCTCGACGGAGGAAGAGCGCCGATCGGCTAGTGTAGTTACCTCGATTGGCGGCCTTCTGCTTCGCCGGAGAGTATAGACCGTCGACGGTATCGTCGCGGATCCCGATCAGGGTTGACGACATTGGGTGCAGCTTTGTCGTTCCATTTGGGATGGACCATGGACGGTTACGATTATTTGGACCATACTTTGCTCCGTGGCGTGAATATCTTGGCGCCGGCCAAGTTAGCGAATAATTGGTCTGAAATTATAGGCCTGCGTAAAAGCCCATATTTTCGATATGGTTGTGAACAGCCCACTTCGCTGGTGCAATCGCAAACAGAGGCCCATAAAGTATTCATGGGTTGGCTACTTAGCATGGCAAGCAACTCTTCCATGTTAATGTTGATCCGTGACGCCTAGGGATGGGAATGCGTTAGGGTGGTGACTGAATTTTTAGTAGTCATCATGGCTACATCAGTATTCATCATTTATTTTCTTCTCTTTCCTCCTTTTTTAATCTTACGGTTAAGATTGTCTTAGGATAATTTTGGAAGAAAAAAAAGACCACACTGGATTATTCTATATATTTTACCCTAACCCTACTTCTACAGTCAAACCCGTCTCAATATCTGAACCCTAATTCACCTTCTTCTCCTTTCTATCTATCAGTTTCCTCTCGCACAAGCAGAGCAAGTCACCAACAATGGCGACATCCAATCCGAAATGTTCATCCTACACCAAATACGAGACCCGAAAACGAAACCCATACCCGAAAACCTCCATCCTCCTAGTAATCGACGCCCAGAACCACTTCTCCTCAATGATTGACCCAATTCTCCCGAACCTCCTCTCCATAATCCAACTCTGCCGCCGCGCCTCGGTCCCAGTCCTCTTCACCCGCCATAACCACAAATCCCCCGAAGACTACGGCATGCTTGAGGAGTGGTGGGACGGGGATCTGATCATCGATGGCACGCCGGAATCCGAGCTAATTCCCCCAATTGCGGAGCTGGCAGCAGAGGAAGGCGGCGGCGAGGTCACCATCGAGAAGAGCACCTACAGCGCCTTCGCACAAACTAGGCTTCAGGAGAAATTGGATTTCCGTAGTGATTTTTTTTTAAATGGTAGTCAGTTTTTCCCGTAGTGGTAGTGTTATTGTCGTATTGGTATTGTTTTTAAATGGTATAGATTGTTTATATTGGTAGTTTTCGTGTAATGGTATAGATTTATTTCTGCAATGGTATTGATTGTTTATGGTATAGATTGTTTATATTGGTAGTTTTCGTGTAATGGTATAGATTTATTTCTACAATGGTATTGATTGTTTATGGTATAGATTGTTTATATTGGTAGTTTTCGTGTAATGGTATAGATTTATTTCTGCAATGGTAGTTTTCGTGTATTGGTATAGATTTATTTCTGCAATGATATTGATGTTTTTCAAAGTGGTAATGTTTGTCTAATGGATTGGTACTATTTTTTTTTTTTTTTTTTTTGCAGAAAGATTGAGAAAAATATGGAAAGGAAATCTGGTTGGAGATCACGGAAGTGAGAGAAAGAGAGAATTTTAATTAATAAATTTTTGTAACTACCTAAAATGTAATTTATTAACAAATTAATTAATATAATTTATTTTTCCATACCCAATTTATCCTTAGTAACCACGGCGTAACCTGTCTCCAGGGATGACTGGTCAGCAACTACTTGGGAGTACTAAGGCCTGTCAGCGGTTATGCCGTTATGGGCTTATCAGTTCATTTGGCTTTTGAGGAATTGTATGGATTTTCCTTTTCCCCAACAAATTCAATTTTCTAGTACAAATTTGGAAGCAGGTCCTTCGAAGTGGCACACTTTCAATTCAGACGGTTCAGTTTGTACAGAACTAAGTCATGTGACAACGGCTGAATTGATCAGTGATCACACAAGTGTTGATTTATAAAGATAGAGTAATAATATGTAATTATGTAGATAGCCACGTTAGTGTCTGGTTAATTAGGTTTAGTGTTAATATATATATACAAATGTGTTCAGTTAATCTCGTTTGGAAGTTGCGATTGTTTTGTTGAGATTGTTACTATACATGTATAGTTTAGTTTTTATTTTATTTTTTAGCAGCAACAATACATGGATTGTTTCTGTAGTGTGACAGAACTATCACTCAAAATGAGTGATTGTTATATCTCAACTTTTAGTTGTGATTGTTGAGTTGAGATTGTTTTGTCCCACCTTTTAGTTGATGTGACATACAAAATAATACTTACCAAACGTTGTATTCTACAATGCATCAAATTCGAAAATACATGTATAATATTATGCATTCACAACAATACATCTATTTAACAATCACAACTTCCAAATGACCCCTTAATTCATTTATAGTGAATACCCGATAGAAAGCATAACATCTCCCGTGAATTAGTCCTATTTATCAGAGATACCACTTTAAAATCTCTGTGTTCTTTACGGTTTATCACGTACTAATTGTCATTAAGGTGTTATATGACAATGTTCACAATGAATTTGAGGATATATTTTGTAGAAGATCAAGGGCATATCTCATAAGCGAGACTCTCGGTTCTAGAGTTTGCTTGCAACTCACAAGCAAGAGAATGACATTGTTGTCGATAAACCTTTACTTTATAATTCGATAAATCAGACTAATGTCGTAGTTACAATATATAGACAACTAAACCTAATATGTAGCCCTAGCTAACCCCAACTCTTAATACGTATCTTGTCCCACAACTACTAATCTACTACTCGGCTAGAACTTGGCCTATGAAACCCATGCAACTTGCATTACCTATGTATAAACCTAAACAAAGGCAGGTGTAAACCTAATAACCTAAACCCATCAACACAAATACGTACTAATCCCAAAGCACAAACATTTGTTCTCATCATTCCTTCTCCCTCAACGAACCATAGCTTGATCCCCAAGGTTCGGTTCATGTTGAGACGCGATAGTCGATGATGAAAGCAACCACAGTTCTTGTGATGACATTGAGGCTTCTCTCGCTTTCGAAATTTTCAGCTTGCACTTCGGTCTCTAATCTTCTTCCTCGTATTGGCCGGGACTCCTAACTCGGCAACGTGGCCATCGACAGGTGCAAAAAATCCTTACCTGAAATACCAGAGCTTAGGTCGAATGAAAATAGCACCCAATGCCTTCTACTCATGTAACATAACCTTCATCCCATGGCCAACACCCGAGTTCAACCCCTTCACTGCACCTTCCATCCCATACGCCTCTAACTCCCCTTTCCTTCTATATTTCCAATCATGAATATTGACCGAAATTCCCTATAGTTAGGGAAAATGGTAGAAATCCTGCCGCGTAATACCAATTTAAGCCTATCTTCATTTAGACCCCATCGATCAAGCGACCATTTTGTTTGTCTCTTTAACCCCGCAAATGAATGCGCAGCCCCGAACGGTACCTCGTAATACTTACTTCCACCCGACGACTTACATAGAAATGACAACCCTTTTAGCAGCCCCAAAGCTTCTCAGCGGCCACCAAAAAACTCGTCCACCTGCATAGGTGATTATCACCCTTGTGCAATGTTTCCTTCCCGCCGATCTCATTGACAAAGATCTTGATCTCCTTCGCCACACTGATTTCATTGGCATCGATGCGGGCCACATCGTTGTCGCTTCGATCTCCATTGATGATAGTTGCGCAGTCATGGTTAAGCCCCCAATAGTAACATAATGTCATCATCCGATCGCAAGTCACCGCAAGCCTCGTACAAGTTGCCTCATCAGTCTCGCTAGTCTCCCTGGTGCTTTGCGCTAGAGCGTGGATCGCGGCCAGGTCTAGGACTATGGCTCTGATACCAATTGATGAATCATAACCCATAATTTAAGGGTTTGCTTGTAACTAATAAGCGAGAGAATGACATTGGTGTCTAAAGACCTTTATTTTATTAATTTGATAATACGGACTAATGCCAAACTTACATATATATAATACGTAAACCCTACAAATTAACCTAACTATATAGCTGAACCCATCCTTCCCCTAGCCGACATGACTACCTACAAAACTAGGCGTCTAATTGGACATACTAAGCCCATGCACTAACAACGTAAACAAACTAACACAAACCTTAATAATTGAACAAAGAGCCTTTCTACTATGTTTTAAAGTACTAGATTATTACCCGGCCCGTTGGCCGGATTACTATATGTTACCCACTTGTGGAATGGGAGAGAAAGCAAGTGAGAGTGAAGGGATTGGGATTCCACTTGATTAGGACCGGCCCACTAATCCGATTCTTCCCGACCCGCCCCAACCTAAAGGGTCAGAAAGAGCCAATAAGAAAATACGAACGGAGAGAATTAGTAATATATCTTGACTCTTCAGAAGTGGGTCAAACAGGATAAAGGTTGGGTGAGGGCAATTTTTAGCGCTAAGCAGAGTTCTGGGTTGAATAACTTTACTTAGGCCTAGAAATTGGTGCTGATGCAGACTGCAGTTTTTATCATACCATCATCAATCATCATTGAATTAGTCCTGGGCATCCCTCCCGTTGTCGGTCTGAATTTTAATGATGGCTTCATTCCTTGCACCAGCCATATCAGCGAGTTGTCATCTCGAGCATGATTTGCCTATGTACAAATGATACAATTAGAGTATGAAACTGAATTCAAAGAAAAGGAAAAGAGAATTCTATCACATGCCAATAAATACACACATAATAGTTGAAGCTAAGTGAAAGTCATTACTCGCACATCAATTCTCAAAAATTACAGACTAAACAATGGCTAGAATGGCACTGAAACTACCAAGAATCATGGACGAAACAACTTGTCAAATTAAATAATCCTTATACTGAAACTACCTTCTAACTTGAAATAAGACATGATCACAGTTCATAGCACTCTTATCACTATGAATTGGTTGCAGCTCGTCCTTATCACTACCTCCCAAGCTCAATTCAAACAGAATAGACACAGTTATGTAAGATAACCATATCCTTACTGATCATAATTCCTTTCTTCACTCCATTTTTGTCGGAGAAAAGAGTTATCCCCCTCTCATGCATTTCCCTTTCCCCCTCTCTTCTCCCTCTTCTTCACAAACCGATCCCTAAACCAGCAACAACAACACAAAATAGCCTTCGCCTCTGCCATCTCCATCTACTGAACGCGTTGGTGGCAAGACAGGATTGCAGAAGCAAAATTTTCTAAAATCAAACTAAATTTTTTGAAGGAGACTCAACCACGAAAAAAGAGTAAAGCAACAATGCTAATAGTTCAGATGGTTGGTTTTGATGTTATACGTTGCTTTTGTTATGGTCTCCAGTGTATCAACTGCAACAGAGATGTTTCCTCCAATCATCTTTAGTGCACGATTTAGAAGTAAGTCCTCTTGTTTGTGTCAAACGGAAACATTCATGGGTTCTTAACTCCCCTGTTAGTGTAAATGCATCAGCAGCAAAGAAGTTTGACAACACAGCAAGCACCCAGGCAAAATGATACAATGCAGTAGGTGATATGTGTCTCAAAGGTTTTGAGTTACTAAGGCCCCATTTAGTATTGTTATATGTTTTTGTTTTCTGTTGTGTTTTTCAAGATTGGAGAAACCAAGAAAAAAAAACATGTTTAGTTGGGTTTCTATTTTTTGTTGTGAATCGGATTTGCACAACAGGGTCCAAATTTGAGAAACAACAATTTATTGCTTTGGATTTGATTCTTATACATGTTTTACACGGGATTTCCGTTTGTTTTCATTAAAACAACCCTCAATTCGAATCCCACCTAAAGCAAAAAATTTCTCTTTTTTTTTTAACTCCCAAACCCACCTCCAAACCCTAGTCGGCCAACCCTACCCTCGTTTTCTCCCAAACCCGCCACCCAACAGCTCCCTCCCTCTCTCAACTTCTTCCTCTTGAGACCCAGGCCACCGATATCGTCCATCTCCCCCTCGTCGTCGATTTCGTCCCTTTGCCCCCGCCACCTCCCTTTCACCTGTCGCCCGACCTCGCAACCCTTGCCGCCTCCTCCTCTCGATTCCCGTCGCCGACTTCGAATCCTTTCCCCCGCCGCCGCCGCCTCCTCTCTTTTCTTGTTTTTAATTCTAATAGTAGTAATTGAACGCGTTTTTGTTTCTTGTTCTCTGCTTTCATTATTTTTTAGATTATCAACTAAACAGGTTTGTGTTTTCTATTTTTTTCCTGTTGTGGTTGTACATCTGTTTACACAACACCACTGCAACCACAACAGCAACAAATCGATACTAAACAGGGCCTAAAGCTCATGTTAAAAATAAACATGAATTAAAATGGATTATTCTATTAAGCAAACATCCCCTCTAATCATACAAAGATCAGATATCTAATTCACAAACAATTAAGCCATAAAAAATCATCACACATCCACCACCTTTGATTGCCTATATTTGGTTTTTCGCAAAGTTGTGGACTCTTAAGGGTAAAGTTCATGGGTAGTCTGTTTCATAACTCTAGAGAGCACAGTAAGCAGCCACCAACCAGACACAGTGCGGTAGGCGAATATGATTCTCAATTCACAATTTCTCACCACCGGAAGTAAGAACAGAACATAATAAGTGTAGCGTTCATGGTGGTCTGTTTCATAGCACTACTACACAATTTGTTAAACAAGAAAGAAAGGTATTTAGCATCACGGCGGAACAACTTTTACAGGCCAACAACGACAACATGCTACAACCACCAGAACTGGTATCACAACTCATAGGGAAAGTCAAAAGATTTACTCTTAAATTAAGTAGTTACAACATCGAGCAATCGTCAAGCACATACACCATCACAAAAGTCACAGAACCTGATTCACAAAGCATTCAAACATTTGAGGACATTTCTGCAAAGATACAACTTATATGTCTTTTTTCCAAGCCATTTCCATCAACATGCTAATAAATTTGCAATGCATAAAACAAATGGGCCAAAACTTGAAATTCAACCTGTTTGACCGACCCATGCCAAATTCTAATTATTCTTTACTTTTAAACTTTCTATTTGAAAATAAAAAAATAGTGAAAGAAAAAAGACGACTACAATTCGCCATTTGCACATCACTTATTCGGGAATAAAACCATATAAATTCAAAAGGAACTGAAAAGGTTGAGGATCGTTTTAATGTTTAAAATAACCAAATAGATTTTTATATTTAGTTTTTTACTAACAAATACCAAACGATTCCCTATAAAATACACTATAATTTGATCATTATGATGTCAAATAATTATAAAATATATATTTAAAATGATAAAAATTGGACTAATTGGGTTGGTCGAGGTTGAACCATTGAATAACTTTAAAATACATTATATTTTAGCCACTAAGATATAAAATAATAGCATAATATATATTATGCCAGAGAAAATAGCTTGTTTTAGAATGGCAAACCCATGATGTTCATTTGTTTTACTTGATGACCAAATCCCATGTAGGTCAGGCCCATTCAACTCTTTTATTTTATGGTTAGCGGTTAGCCCATTAGATACCATGCATTAGTCTATTGTTAAATTTTTTATTTTTAACAATAAAAAGGAGTATTATTTTTGCCTTTTCATATATATTTTATCTCCACGGATAAATAAAAGGGTATAAAGAAAAAAATTGACACTCCTTGACTCGTTTAAATCCGCATGTGTACGGTAAGTTGGCCCGTTCCATAGAGGAAAGAGAAAAAATTGACACTCCCTATTTTACCCTTCCTACAAACGCTCATGGAACAGGGAATTTGAAATGGGGGAAGAGTTTTTTCCACCCTGCTATTATATGTTTTTAATTTAAAAGGATACAACAAATGTACTTAGTGTGATTGGTTATGATCCTTGCCTTTCTTTAAAATGGTCATGGTTCAAATCCCAGTACATACCTTTTTAATGAATAAAAAAAAGTAATTGTGAAGACCAAAATGTCCTTCCTACTTTCACTCTCGTTGCAGGAAATTTGAAATGGGGCTCCCGTTTTTCCCTTTGGTGTATTATATTATGTGTAGATTGGTGCTTTAAAGTACAACTTCAAGTTGTACCACAACGTTAAAGGTACAAGTTAGAGTTGTACCATAAGGGAATTTGATATTTATGTTGTGGTACAACTTCAACTCTTCAAGTTGTACCATAACTTAAATGTACAACTTTAGTTTGTACCATAAAGGGATTTTACAAAAGTGTGTATAGGTACAACCTAAAGTTAAACAATAACGTTAAAAGTACAACTTCAAATTGTACCATAAAGGCAAAAACTAAAGCATCAATACTTTAAAGCATTGTGAAATTCCTCTTGAACAAAAGCACGCAAACGCACTAATCCAAAAGTCCAAACATTTATTCTCATCTGTTTCACGTTTGGTATAACAACCTTAGAATTAATATGAGGATTTCCCTCCGGCTCCTTCATTACCACGAGCCAATGTTCGAAATTCAAAATCGAAGCCAACCGTGAGCCTGTTCCACCAATTAGGGCTCAGGGCGTCCGGGCGAGGACGCGTCCGTCTCCATGGGTTAATAAAGAGAGGAGGCGGGAGAGGAGTTATTTTTTAAGTGAGCGGCGGTGAGAGGGCAGAAGAGGGGTACTAGGGACGAAAGAGGAGGAGAAGTAACGAGTTAGGATGACGAGGGAGTTGATGGCGACGGTGGTTTCGTCGAGCGGAGAAGGATGGAGCGCAACTTTGAGATGGAAGCAGCGTACTTGGTTGGTTGGGAGAGCGGATCCCATGATTAAGGGGTCCTTAGTCCCTTGATTAAGCCTCTTCTATCCATTAGATCTGGACACTTCAATACAATAGTTAAAAAATGGGAAGGTATTTTTAATTAGTGAGAGGGGTAATTTGGGTATTATGAAAAATTATGAAGTATACAAACCGGACTTACAAACAATACAAACAATACAAACTTATAAACAGTACAAATTATAACGACAAAACATACAAACAGATTTAC